GGATTCTGTGTTTTTCTTTTTTCATTAGTGTTATGATTGTGGCCAATTTCGAAGTACACATTCATGAGAAAGTACAATGCCATCCAATTGCAAAAAGAAATGAGTGGACTTGAGAGGAGGGAGAGGGAAAGAAGAAGAAGAAGAAGAAGATGTACACCAGCAAAGACCAATGGGAATTCCCTTCTTCTTCGCCGACCACTCTCCTCCTCCTCCTTATCTCCTCCCCTCTTATTTAAACAAGAAATAAAAATAATAATGTTGAACGGCTGAACCAGAATCAATGTCTGAATCCCTCTTCTACTGCAGGTATCACATGAGGGCCACCATAGCCATGGCCACCCTTTATCCTCCAAGGTCGAGACTATGGAGGACTACCAGGGCATTGCCCTGCTGTGCAGAGGACAACACAAAGCAGCTATGGCTGCTCCAGCTCAGGCCGACATGCCTGACTCTGCCCTCGAAGCTTCTTGGTGTAGCTCTACCCCACTGGGCCCTTCCTGCTGCAGCACCCACCAAGGTGATGAAGATGGGAACCACCATAGCCAGGTAAGTACCTATGGCACCACTCCTTCCTAGTCCTTGTCTTCCTCCTCTCTCTGTCCTTGCTCCTTCCCCAGCAGCGCTGCTCTTATGCGAGCACTGCTGTGTTGCCAAACTTGCACACCGACAATGAGGAGCACTTCGCTCCTCCTGGAGATATAGCGGCCTGCTTGCCTCTTGGCAAGCGGGTTCCTAGGTTACTCGGCCTCCAAGCAACTGGTACCTCCTCCCATTCGGAGGGAAACATCATTGCAGACTCTGATATTGCCCGTACAGGCCCAGACTCAAACTGGTTGGACTGGGACCCGCCTAGACCTAGCCTAGAACTACTGGGCCTCTAAAATGCCAACTTTGTCTTCACCGCTGCAACCCTCAATGTCACGGCCACAGGTAAGTACCGGCCCTTTGGGCCTTCCGCACGGATAACTACCCTTTGCAGGGCACACACACACTCGAACCGACGAGCACTCAGACAGGCACGCGGACCAGCAAGCACGCACACACTCAGACTTTGAAAACCCAGCAACAAGCAGGAAACTCAGCAAGGCGTACATTCCATTGGCGAAACTCAGAAATCAGCTGTGTCTCAGTCCGTGTTTGGCAGGTCCTAACACATATGCTGGTTTCCTGCGGGTTATGACCAATACATTTCAGTAAGGTGAACTCGTATTTGACACACAAAACAAAGGGCCGAAGGCCAGAGCATGTTCCCGCATATAGGGAAATTTTATTTGAGCCTAGACATTTTACCTTTTTTTTTTTTCGAACGGCATTTTTTTCTCATTTTTTCTCTATGTTATTTTACTTCTCTTCTTGAAGTACGTTGGGGAAGTGGATGCCTGGTAGCTCCAGCCTCGGCGAGGGTCGGCATACCGGTCAACCGAGGCTCGGACTTCATAGCTAGGCGAAGTACTGGTGTGTAATGACCCGCCAAAAACACAGACTGAGAACACTGCTGATTTCTGGGATTTGCCAATGGAATGAATGCCTTGCTGTGATTCCCGCATTCTGCTGTGGTCCCAAGTCTGTGTGTATGCGTGCCTGCTGGTTTGCATGCCTGTCTGAGTGCTTGCCGGTTGTGTGTGTGTGCGTGCCTGCTGGTTTGCATGCCTGTCTGAGTGCTTGCTGGTTGGGTATGTGTTTGTGGCCCGCAAGGGTACTTGTTGGTTGCAAGGCCCACCGGGCCGGTACTTACCTGTGGCCATGACTTGGAAGGGTGCAGGGGGGTAAACACACCGGTAGCGGGGAGTAGGCCCACGGCACTTAGAGCAGCTGGGGAAAAACCCTCAAGTAGCAGGTAGGCCGAGCAGAAGAAGACAAAAAGTTGGCATTTTTAGAGGCCCAGTAGCGGTAGGTTAGAGGTAGGCCGGTACCAGTCCAAGTAGCCCGGGTCTAGGGCCTGTGCGGACAATAACAGAGCCTGCAATGATGTTTCCCTCCAAAAAGGAGGAGGTACCGGTTGCTGGGAGGCCGCTTGGCCTAGGAA